TGGGGGTGAGGAGTAGAACATGGTCATGCTCCATGGGGGTGAGGAGTTAGTTTACTCTACTTCAGGTGGAGGTATTCATGAACCAGTTCTTAGCACGGTACCTACGTCCATCTGGGCTCTTAGAGTTCACTTAAATAAGCGATATCATTTCCGTTTTCTCCGTTATCTCCACATTGTTTTTTGTTCCTCACATTTTTGTTGTGACGTTTGCTACGGTCGGTTAGACGGTTAGTCAATTTGCAGAAAATGAATCAGCAATTCTTTTCATAACTGACTAGTTATTAAAAGTAAAAACAATGTTGTCCAGCTTGTCAAATGTGTAGATTTGTTGTTTTTCTTTAACATTATCTTTGGGTTTTGGACAGCTGAGGGTGTACCTCTGGTCTGTGGGTAATCAGAACATCTTCTTCACTCTTTTAGAGACCAAAGGATTGACTAAAGACATTGAGACACTTACTGTCATCACCCACTGGGCCGGCTGAGCACTGTGCTGGAGGGTCACGAGCCAGGTCGTTAAGCTCCTATAAAAAGGAAGAGAAGAAGAAGCACAGTAATCAATTAAGACCACAGTTATCGTCACAACCAAAACAATGAGGATCCAATGTTGATCAGCACTTCCTCATATACAGAAGTCGACTGATGCTCTGTTTGCCTGTTTGCTTCCAGCTGAAGTTTATTGAAGGGGCCTTCCGCTTATTTTGCGTCACACTTCCATGAAGTTAGATGACTTTCAAGAAACAGAAAATAGATAGTGGGCCACCTTGTTATCATCACTCCAGTTAACAGCACTCCACACCTAAGCACGTGTACTACAATCTCTCATGTTTAATTTTAGGGTCCACAGCTACGTCAGAGTGAGGTGGAGGCACAATTTCACAATAAAGTGTTTATGGATTTCCTTGAAAGAAGAGCCCCAGTAAACAGCAGAGTGAAGACATGCATCCTCGGTGGGAACACTTTGTTTAGGAGGTTGTTGCTCCAATCCAACCTGACCCCATTAAACTGCCAGAACACACCCTGCGATGTGCAATAGCACCGGACAAATACGACCACATACCAGCTCTGACTGCTCTCTCCCGAGTCAAAGAGCGATGTGAGTCATGGGTATAACACGTTTTAACGATTAACGGTAGCCATTAGACACTGTTGTGTGTCTCAACGTGAAGCTCCGGTAAATAGTTCAAATCATAAATGGTGTTTCAAAGTATTTACAGTCGGGCCTCCCGTTTTTGGTGTTTCCGTCATTTCACTTCGACCAAACACACACGGAACCTGTAACGTAACCGAAACTGCTCGTGCTAGCAAGCTAAGCTATCTTAGCTGAATGGTGTTAGCCGATCAGACGTTAAGCCACATCCGTATGTGGCAGCGGCGCGCGCTAATAGCCGTTAGATCACCGTTAAACGACGTTATCTCACCTTGTGGATCCTTTTCAAAGCCATGCTCTCGCTCGACGTTCTTTCTTCTTTGATTTGAAGGGGTTTCCGATGCCAGGATGATTCCGCTATCTGTTAAATAATTTAATGCTGGGTCAACTCGACCCGGCCTTTCTTTTTCGAAGCTAGCGTAAGTTAGCTAGCGAGCTAAAACACTACGTATGCGCAAAGAGTTGGTGACAAAGATAGCCGGCGTTGTTAAAGAGTTTATTATTTTTTTAGCCAAACAACAGACGTTACGCTTGTCCTTTGGTAACCCTCCGCCTTGTATTTGGTTAATCTGTATCCCCGGTTGAGGCTCAGTAAGTGAAGTAACACCGGACCACAAAGCTGCTCTTGCTGTCTGTCGCTGCCGTTAGCCAACTAGCGGCTGCCTGCGTGTATTTGAGGCTTTATTATGAGGAAGGCGGTCCAGATGGCAGCTGAGTGACGAGGCGGATGTGGTGATGCAGTCAGACCGGTTGTTTAATCAAACTTAAATCAAATTGGGATCTACTTTTTTATTTATGGTTCTGACCAAACAGAAATGTAGCCTATGGAAGCCCACAAAACATTAAATACAATAAAAAGTAATTTAATGTATGAATTATTATTATTATATATATTTATATTATAATATAAATATTATATTTAATAATATATTATTTATACATTATTAAATATAGTATTATTATTATAAATGTATGAATTATTTATTAAAATATTTAAACAATCACAGCATACAAAACTGCACTTGTTTTCTTTTTAACTTGCTACAGCACGAAGCCTTTAAAGTAACCCATCAACAGGCTTATTATAATAATAAGATCACTTGAATAGAAGAAGTAAAATAGTGCTTGCAATGTTAAATTAAAAGAACACATAAATCTTAACAAGATTGGACTATTATGCAACTTGTACTTGCTTTGGTAAATGTACAAAAGATATTTACGTGAAAATAAAGTGGTGTAATATATCTTAAGTATAACTAACTAGAGGAAAGTACTTAATTGCAATTTTGAAGGTAGCTACTTGTGCTTTGAGTATTTTTCACTATAATTCTGTTCCACAATTCAGAGGCACATGTACTTTTTACTCCTATTATTTGATAACTTTACTTTCCAGATTCAGATTAACACAATAAATGTAATAATGTCACATATATCATATCGATCAGACTTAATTGCACAAGCTACCCACCATTATATAAATAGACCCACCTTTACCATCTGCAACAATAAAGTGATGTACACATGAATGCATCAGAAATCATAATGAAATATATTTATTATTCTGAAATGGGCCATTTTTGCAAATTTTACTTTTGGTGCTTCAAGGTTTATTTTGATGCAAATATTCTGCTTTCACTTAAGACATTTGAATGCAGGACTTTTACTTTTACTTGTAAACATTGTCTGGTCGTAGCTTCTCGAGTGAAGATCTTCTGCACGTCGTCGTTTTGTATGATTGTAAACTGAATGTCTTGAGGGACATTTCACTATTAAAATGATTAATCGACGATGGAAATAGTCGTTAACTGGAGCCCTCGTCTATTTTATGTGGATGACACACCATAAAATACACACTCAGTTGCCAGTTTATTAGGTATGCCTAACAAACACTAATGCAGTCTAACAACAGTGCCGGAGGCGTTGATTCAATGAGCTGTTTCAATTGTCCTGGTTTATACTCACAGGTGTTTCTATTATTTTGTCCACCCCATTTCTATCAGAGTGTGGACTAAATAACAGAGACACTTCATTATTTCTGCTGATATAGCGCTAATGTCTGGCAATGACATGGCTCACATTTTAACTTAATTTAATTCATTATGAAATTCCATGTTAAAAGTTAGACAAAAAAAAAAAAAAAAAGAAATAAAATCCTTTCTACATTACTACAGTGACTGTGTTAGGGAGCACATCGCATATCAAATAACATATTTAAGAGAAATACTATTTCTATCATTCAGGGATTCTGCTTCACTGTAGATGTGTGAAATGATCCAGAGATGCTGAATACTTTATTATCTCACAATCAACATATCACACACAAACAATAGTCTGGGCTGTCTTAGCTTCAATATTCTGTTATGACTTCATAACTCTGGCACGTGATGTCAACCTCCCTGTGCAACGCTCATGAATGTATTCATTTTGAAACTACAGTACTTGTTCACAGCAGTTATTAAATACTGGGAGACGGAGAACCGTCGCAGTATAAAAGGCCGAGTCATGATTAACAAAGACAAACGCTTTCACAAAAGCTCAATACATGAGTACAACGGGAACGACTGAAGACATGAGATTAAATCATCTCTCAACGGAAATATCTTTACTTGTAACCTGCTAGAGTTTGGTAAATATTGATGCAAGATAATTGCTGAATAGTTACACATCATTTCTATGGATTATATTTTTTCTTTACAGTTGGACAATGAGGGTACCGTTTAGTCAATCCAGATGCATGTTATTTGCTAAATTGGAGCACATTCATGACACTGTCTGGTAACAAGACATTTCTCCATTTGTTCCCAGAGAGAAGGCAAATGTGCTGCGAGTCCCCGTGATGGAGGACCAGTGATGGTGCAGGGCCGTCAGTCGCTGCTGTCTGTGCTTGTGCAGGAGAAGGTGGACGTCTGTGGGACGGCTTCGTCCTCTCCGAGTGCGTCCAGCTTTAAGTCTGAATATGTGCCTTTACCTTTATGACTCCGAGGATCGTCAATGGAGTCGAAGAGTTCGGAGTTTTCATGACATGATTTGACGGAGGTTCTGCGATCCACACGGCTCGTACCAGGTGCCTCGTGGTTTCTGTTGGATTCTGGCGAGTCAAGGCTCTTCCATGATGTAGATGTGCCTTCACAGCGGCCATGTTTATCCCCATTGACGTTTTGTGGCTCTCCAGGACAGACAGTACTGCCGTCTGCTCCGTTAGAGTCAGATTGGTCGTCCACCGTCTGCTCATTCACTGCATTAAGAGTCGATTCCTCGCCTTCGCTGTGCACGTTAGGAGAGCTTTTACCCAGCAGCACATGGGAACTAGAAATGTCCCCTGAAGAGCAGCTTGACACTGGGCTGACAAATCCAACAAAGTCTCCACTGGAGCTGAAACGAAGACCCTGGACAGCGTCCCTGTCAGCATCAGCCGGTTGGTCTTTATCTCCATCCTCAGAGCCGTTAGTCTCCTCCTGCTGCTCGGTGGGATCAGGAGTCACAGCATCGCTCTGCATCTCCTGGGCCGGGCCGTTGTTGTCCTGGTTCTGATCTCCCTCTTGATGCTCAGCAGCCGGTGCCGGTTCCGGCCCCGCGTCCCTCTGAGTTTGAGCTGCCGGGGCGTCACCTGAAGTCGGGCTCTGACCCGTGACCTGGGTGGGTCGGACCGTTTGGTGGCACATGGGGCAGGTCTCCTGCACGTACAGCCACTTGCGGAGGCAGTTGCCGTGGAAGAAATGTCCGCAGTACGTGATCACAGCCGCCGTCATTTCCTGTGAGGAGGAGGAGACGTGTTTTACAATACCTGTGACATATCTTTAATACTATTTATACACACACACACACACACACACACACACACACATATGTATATACACTATATACATACAGTATACTTACAATATACAGCTTTTACAGTTCACACATGTCAGCCAAAGTTGCACTACTCTTTTGCACAGATATTTGCAGTCTAAGGTATCGTAATATTGTTTTTTAATGTCATCTCTTTTCATTAATCTCTTATTCATGAACACTCAGAGTTTTTAATGTTTGCTGAGCTCTCAGCCGTCTCTGTGCTGATGGAACAAGTAATTATCCTCAGTGGGGATCAATAAGGTCCTTTATTATTTGATCTTTTCTATAAATGCTCTCTTTTATTAGCAAGGTTTTCTGTAGCTGCTCGATGTCACGGACAAAGAAAACACAAACAAACATGAACCGGTTTGAACTGAAAACACGGCTGAAGGCCAGAGATTGGTGCGTCGGCAGCGCACGGAGAGATGGGGAGCTGGGTCACATAATGTTCGTAAGCTGCTCGATGCCTCACGCGCTCACTATATTAACACTCTAAAGGTTCAACTCTGCCCTCATGTTGATATTGTGATGATATTTTGGGGATAAATATGTTTTTGGGATATGGATAATGACCGTCCTCTTGGTACACACTCTAGTCTAACAAGTCCTTACACCCCCGGTAGAGGAAAGCTAAACATCTAAACATGTCAGTCTTATGTTTAGTTGTGTATCTCTGTTTGCTGCTGACTCACTCTGTGTGATAACAAGGAAGACAAAATGTCCTTTCAAAATAAACTGCTTGTAGGCGTCTTTGTTTTGTCGGATCAAAGTTAACGGAGAAACACGCACAAAACAATGAATTACTTCAACGTGCACTTCAGTAAAACATTGATGAAGAAGTCTGAAATAAGAGTGAAGGCTTCATTATGAACCGTGGAAGTCAACACTGGAAGAAATGAATCTTTGATATTTTAGTAAGGAACACATGTTTGGTTATTGTAGTTATATAGATGTAATTTATGGTGCTGTTAGACCTCTCCTTTAATACAGGGAGTTACTTTAACTGGGACAAGCGTGAAGCAAGAATATTGTTTTTGAAAAACTAAACGCCAACAAAGACAGATTGAATACTAATATTAGTGTCGCCTAATATTTACCTGCAGCTGTGTTTAAACAGAATGAATAGACATGAAAGATAAAAAGGAGCTGCTCAGCATTGGAATGTAGATTTGGATATTGAATGTCAACATTATGACTGAAGCTTCAAACTATTGGGTACAGCCGTGTAATTCTGAAACACGTACACCGCCTGTACACCGCCTGTACACCGCCTGTTCACCGCCTGTTCACCGCCTGTACACCGCCTGTACACCGCCTGTACACCGCCTGTACACCGCCTGTACACCGCCTGTACACCGCCTGTACACCGCCTGTTCGGCTTAGTGCGGACACTTCACCATGTCTAAGAGCAGCTGTCATGGCGCTGGATGTTACAGTATGTTGTGTGACTGACCTGGAAGCAGATGGAACAGACGTCGTTGTGTTGCTGCAGCTGTTGAGCCGTGGCTCTGGGCAGCGAGTTGATCTTCTTCGCCGCTTCCTGTCTGAGCAGGAAGCTCCTCCATCCGGACTGAGCTCTGAGCCAGACGTTGAAGTAAGAGTGGATGATGATGACTGAGGCGCCCATCCAGCTCCACTCGCCAAACAGTGACTCCCAGGTGCCGTACGCCACCACGCAGAGCGCCACCACGAACTCCAGCACCCTGCTGACGGCGTTCACCCAGTAGATCACCTCGTCCAGGCTCTCGATGGGGTCGCTGCGGAACAGCTCCACCATGAAGAGGGAGTAGATCAGCATCGTGCCTGTAACCTGGACCAAGGGAACAGTGCAAACAATCAACTCTATGGAGGATGTGATGCGACTCCCAATGTTTAATGGAAGGACTTTAGAGAGCTGTTTACTTTACAGCTGCTATGTGTAGAATTATGATGTGATTACAACATATTTCATGTGATTCTAACAGTGGCCACTGTGGGGCGTCACAGTCAGGATTTATCTCATTCTAAACACGGAGGCTTCAGGGAACAACTTGATCCAAAGAGGTTTACAGTAGCATGACTCCACACGGTCACCCATCGAGAGTTAGAAGTAAAGCACAACTACTGTTGCGTTAGGACCGAGGTTCTTCACTGAGCTGCACAGGTTTAGGCAGAGCTTTCCATAAGCGCCGGTTGCATTACTGCATGTACCTTTTACAACCACTAGCCTCCGCTTCTAAACAATTAAACTATGCATTCATTAAGATCAGTGTATACAATTGAAAAGTGGCATTACAATTTGTCAGAGGTACCAAGTCGGCTACTTTCTCTCGCCGTCTTCTCCACATCCTCATGAAATAATATAATATAAATAATTCACCGACTGAAACGCCACTGATTGAGTATTTTAAGTGTCATTCAAACTGCTGTCCTTGATTGAGCAGATTGCAAAAATAATTGCCAAGAAGAAGTGATGGAATATGTCTGACAATTAAAAAACGTAGTATTTAATGCCAAAGTAGCTTTATATGTTGCAGGTTTATTAGTCATTTCATTTAAAGACACATGAAGTCATACCTGAAGGGAAGTCAGCATGCAGCTCGACACCAGTATAAGGAGCCAGAAGTCCATGTGGAAGAACTGGGAGATTTTATAAGCCATGAACACGGGGAAAACCAGCAGAAGCAGACACATGCTGAGGCCACGGAAGTGTTTCCACACACTCCTAGAAGCACAGAGGAAACCAAGAGAACAACGCACAATCCTCTCAGAACTTCTGAAAGACTTTTGTACTTCGTTCATATAGAATATTTCACTCGGTCAGCTGCTTGTGTTGCCGTTACCTGTTGCGGGACGCGCCCAGGGCCAGAATAACCGGGTCTGTTATTTCAATCATAGACTGCAGGGTTGAAGTCACCACGATGAAGAGGATGATGCTTAGGAGGAAGGTGCGCTGCAGCGCCTGCATATCCAACAGGCCCGTCTGCAGAGCGAGCAGCAGCAGAGTTACGCCCTCGGTCACACCTCTGAAGAAGAGGGTAACTAGTTAGAATCCTCATAGAGCACACGTAGCACACGTAGCACACGTAGCACAGAGGGGCAGCTCTCTGACTCTAGACCTGTAGTTTACTGGGAAGTAAACAAAGGGAGGGAATCTTTTCAAGTAGCCCTCCCCAGAGCACAGTTACAAGCAATTTATCTTTGGAATCATCTGCATCGTCTGCAGCCACTTGATGGCCCCCCAGTGGTGACTGACACCATCAGAGAGAGGCTATCGCCACAACACGGGGGCAGCTCAGTGTGCTTTACATCCACATATCAAATATACTGAAAAGAAGGTACAAAGAACATCAAATAGTAATTAATTAGAGAATAATATAATGAAAAGATGAGTAAGAACAGGAGGACAATAACACAGAAATATTGGACGTAAATATACTTAAATCTTCTGTTTTCTAGGAGCCACTCATAATCTGAAGCTCTGTGAGTTTCAGCTCATTGTCCGTCTGATCTGAACTTCATCAGTTTGGTTCATTCTTTAGTCTTTAAATACTCTGCGTACACTACCAGCAGACAGACACAGTTAGCGACTAGCTGCTGAACAGACTGATGCATTTAGCAGCTAAAGAGAAACATATTCCCTCAGGAGGGGGTGGAGACCAACAGAAGTGCTAAAAGGAGTGAATATTGGACTTTCAATCATCAGGCGGACACAAACACCAAGCAGCCCTGTTCCAGGCTGTTAATCTAACATCTTTATAATCTCTGCATCTTTTTAATGACTTCCTGTAGAGTAGAATAGATTTAAAGATACTGTTATCACAAACAAGCTCCCACACAGGCTTTCCTCTTCATACTCTTACATCCTCATATCACATCTAGACGTCTAGACATGAGATCATCCACAGCGCTCTCTCCAAAACCCAACTCCACTGACTGTACCAACTCCACCAACTCCACCGACCTCCAAAACCCAACTCCACCAACTCTACCAACTCCACCGACCTCCAAAACCCAACTCCACCGACCTCCAAAACCCAACTCCACCGACCTCCAAAACCCAACTCCGACTCCACCGACCTCCAAAACCCAACTCCACCGACCTCTAAAACCCAACTCCACCGACCTCCAAAACCCAACTCCACCGACCTCCAAAACCCAACTCCACCGACCTCCAAAACCCAACTCCACCGACCTCCAAAACCCAACTCCACCGACCTCTAAAACCCAACTCCACCGACCTCCAAAACCCAACTCCACCAACCTCCAAAACCCAACTCCACCAACTCCACCGACCTCCAAAACCCAACTCCACCGACCTCCAAAACCCAACTCCACCGACCTCCAAAACCCAACTCCACCGACTCCACCGACCTCCAAAATCCCGACTCTACCAACTCCACCGACCTCCAAAACCCGACTCCACCGACCTGCTAACCATTTATGTGCGTCATCTGCAATCAAGTCACGTTTATTTACAGAGCACATTTAAAAACAACTACTCATAAGGCGGTCGGGGGGCTTTTATTTATGTATTTATCTGTTGTTCTGTCTGTTCTTGAAAGTATGCAACATGGAGATATTTGTTACTTTTGTATTTTGTATTTGTACAATAATAAAGTTACCTTTGAAAGAACAAACAAAAACAAACAATTGAGAGTTTCTTGATAAAACCATAAAACAACAGTATTACACAAACTAAATACAATAAAGTCAAGTAAAGACCAGAGTGTGTATTTGTATATGTGTACAGCTGGATGTGTGTGTTTCTTATATCCTGTGAAGCACGATGGAACTTTGCTTTTAAAAAGGTGCAAATAGAAAGAAAACCAAATAAAAACTCAAAATGAATAATAAATTTCCTCCATACTTAACTCCATACTCCATACATAACTGCTGGACGTGTAAATAAGCATCTTTTTACTAGATCATATGTCATTTGGCAGGTTGAAATGTGGACCAACGGGAGTTATTTGTGGATCCAAACAGGTAATCTCACCTGTGCATGACATTGTCGCTCTGAACAGCTGCGTAACCTCCCAGGTAGAACTTGCACAGGTTGAGCAGTCCGACAGCGAGATAGGACACCACGAAGGTCAGCCCCAGAAGAGAGTACGGAGTGGCACAACATTCAGAGACACTGTAGGGTTCGACAAACCAGAGCACACCAGATTAAACACTACATGCAACGCGTGGTACGTCGGGTACAAACATGCACAAAGGAATATTAATAAACCACTTATAACATCACACCTGGTGAGCAGGATGAACATGACTCCCTGATGGCTCGCTGAGGTTTTTACAGACGTGGTGTCTGAGCACAGCTGGACCACGAACAGAACAAACCAGAAGACGCTGAAGAGCACTGGGACGGCAAACTGGTTCCACAGGGAGATTCCCACAGCCAGGAGTCTGTACAGCTCGATCACCTGAGGGACGGTAACCAGAGACGAGACAACAGGACACACAGTCAACAAAAAGCGTCGAGGACAACCAGAATATTTGTCTCTTTTGTGACTTTGGGTCGCGTTCTGTTACAAATAAAATCATATCATAATATCCTTTGTGGACCAGAAATTATCCAAACTATTTTCTTAAAAAGCGTTGCAGCCTCTACAACCTCCTCAGACAAACAGGATGCTCCGTAACACAATTCAGAATAAGAGTACCTCCAGCTGCAGCAGCTCTGAATAGGCGGCCTTTGCGAGCCGATACGGCACGAAGAGATGCGAGAGCAGGAACACGGTGATTCCCGCTCCGGTCAGCCCCACGGAGAACGTGTTGACGGCTAGCAGCGTGGCGTGACCAGCGGCACAGAGTCTGGCCAGCAGGGGGAGCATGTGAGCAGAGAACAACCACACCTTCCTGGTCTTCATCAGGAAGGCACACAGCGTGCTGAGGATAATCTCACCTGAACAGAAAGTCACATTACGACCACTGGAAAGCTTTTACTACTGAAAACATGTAATACAATTGTTTTCATGAGAGCTGATATAAAAATATTGTGCTCATACTGAAGATAGTCCATTAAGTTGAACCTAAAGGAGCCTGAAAGCTACATATTTACACGCATGTTTGGTTTCACGACTCACTCGTCATTGCAGAGATGAATCTGTTGAAGGCCAGAGAATCGAGGTACACTGCTCCTTCATAGCCGTACTGCAGCTCCTGCTGAACATAATCCCTGTGACATGTACACAAATACACAGGTTTATAAGGACATATTCACTGTAGGCTGCAACCAATTAGGGATTCATTTTGCAGTTTTGGGATTACTTCATGCATTGATTTCTAATGTATTTTCATTAATGTAGTCATTCACTTCTGTCCAAATAAGGAACGTTTTCTCTTCTTACAGCAACAAGCATGAAGCCTTTAGAGATCCCACTGTTTGTTCTCACGTTACAACACATGATACAGACTCCGTCTCCTAAAGTTAAACATCAGGCTGAAGGGAACTGGATACACAGAGAGACGGGCCCAGAGCCTGCAGACAAGCCTCGTCAGGAGGAGGAGTAGTAGCAGCAGTAGTAGCAGCAGTAGTAGCAGCAGTAGTAGTAGTAGTAGTAGCAGTAGTAGTAGCAGTAGGAGTAGTAGTAGCAGCAGTAGTAGTAGTAGCAGCAGTAGCAGTAGTAGTAGTAGTAGTAGCAGTAGCAGCAATAGTAGCAGCAGCAGTAGCAGCAGCAGTAGTAGTAGCAGTAGTAGCAGCAGTAGTAGTAGTAGCAGTAGTAGTAGTAGTAGCAGTAGCAGTAGTAGTAGCAGCAATAGTAGCAGTAGCAGTAGTAGTAGCAGCAGCAGTAGTAGCAGTAGTAG